TCCTCAACCCTCATCTTTTCCAAGAAAAGGAGGTTTTTAGCCGCTGCAGGAGCAGCAGGCGCGAGCAAGGAGGAGGGATTTTGGCCGGCCATGCACGAAAGTTCGGTTCAGCCAAACACGATTCGGGCGTGAGCTCTGGGCGTGAGCGAGTGTAGAATGTCGGAGAGCCATGCAGCCGCAGCCATGCAGCGACACGACGAGAAGCATGGCCTCATCTTCGCCTGCTTCACCTCACCTTGGCGCTCAAGCTGTCGTCGTGGACCCCGCATCCTTGCGGCCAGCGGGGTGCATGTTCCCCCTTCTTTCCTCCCCCTGCTCTGCCGTTGCAGCGGTCTGGCACTCTGGCATTGCCGCCAAGGGAACGCTCTATCGGCCGTGCGAGGCGAAAGAAATCTGAAAACTACTCCGCCTCCTTTGCCTCCGCTACAAAAGTCCGCCGCGGGGAGGGGAGAGGGGCCCCAAAGACGCGCGCACCTGCACTGCTCCATTTTAAAAAGATTGAGGCGGCAGATGAGGTGAGGGAGAGGAGGAGGGAGCCGAGCTGGCTATCGAAAAAAGTAAATAAAGCAGGCGAGAAGTGCGCCCGACCGACGCCGCCCGAGCCCTAACGCTGGTTTTGGTTATCCTTCCTCCCACTCTAAGGTGAGGTAGGGCAGGGCAGAAGAGGAAGGGGAAGGGCGCTTGGTCCCTTCCCTCAAGTCCTGCGCGCATTTTTGTGGGGCCCCTTCCCTTCCCTCCCTTTTTCCGATCCCTCCATATTTTCATTTTTCACGCCGTGTCCAATCCCAACTTAGAGCCCCGTGGTGGAACGAAAGAGAAGCCCTTCTCTCTCTCCCTCCTTCCCTCTGCGGAGTGGAGGCGGGGGAACCTCTTGGGACTTGGGACCCCCATAGGGCGGGTCCACGTCCCAATGTCACGGCGTTTCTTTCGTCCCCGGGCCCGGGGCATGCCCCCTCTGCAGGTGTGGCGCGCGCACCCCTCCCCCCCCCCCTCAAATCCACCGTCAAACACTGTGAAAAATATCCGTCTAAATTTACAAAATTTATTAAGAAAAACATATATGGTGTACCAGGGCGCTGAATCACGACGAATCATTTCGTAGATATACTGTACCGCATTCACGCATGTAGGCGGGTTGCCTACTCACACGGGGCCATAAGGAACCCTGGGCAGCAAGGATAGGCAAACCCGCCCACACGCTTGAATGCGGTACAGTAACCACGAAAGCGCGCGGTGTGAATCAGCCACCTGGTATATTTCCGACAGCCAAGATCAAATCCAAGTCAATACGAATCCCTTGTAAATTTACAATTTTTAATTGTAACTTAACTATACGGGAGTGCATGGATCTTTTCGACTCAACCCTGGGCGCGCGCGGCTCGTCTGCGCCTCCGGTTGGTTCCAGCAGGTGACTCCAGTTCGACTCCAGTCGGCCCAGTGCGTCGCCGGCCCGGCCCGGGCTCGTCCTCATTGTACTCTCGTTTCGTGAGGGAATGTCATCACGGCTGAACGGGACCGCGTCGCACCGGCCGTGCCTCCGTCATCATTTCGTCGTCTTACTTTTCTCTTATTATCGTTGTTTATTGTTATCATTATAGTATTTTTTCCCTCCTGCCCCGGTCGTCGTCGTCGTCTCCACGATTCCTGCAAAAGCCGACGCGGCGCGGCGCCGACGGGCGGAAGGGCACTGAGGGAGTACCAACACAATTAATGCCCTTGATGCGGCTGACAGAAGATTACCCCTCGGACAAATGAAATATGAGCGAATCGCGGAGCACGACCAGAACGCGAGAGAGGGAGAGAGAGGGAGAGAGAGAGAGAGAGAGAGAGAGAGCGCTCCTTATTCGCGGCAGCGGGTAGCTGACCGCGATGAGCCCCCGCGGCCCCCCGCGCGGCCCGCGAGCTGCGGTCGGAGAGCGGCCCCACTACCGTACGCGGCCAGGTGACGGGGAAGGGGCGGGGCCGCCGGGCGGACCGGGCCGGGCGGTCTGGTCCACATTCGACGCTCGAGATCGGCTTTTATTTTCGTCTATTAGTTTTATGCCGTCGCTCGAATGGCCATCTCAACAGGACATGGGAGCTTCTGTTTGGGTGTTCCAGCAGCAGCGCGGCCCACCTGGATCTTCTGGAGGACGCATAGTCCTTAGGGACGCGGTTTGTGTGTGTGTCTAACGAGGAGGGGGGGGGGGGTCTGCACTATCGACAGTTTCCTTCACCATCTTTGGGATGTGGATTAAAGTCTAAGTGGGTCCCGGGATAACGGGTGAGGAGGACCTGTCTATTCTTCGTTTCCCGCGTGGTTAGCTTCAGACCCCTCAAAAAGGGGAGAAGAACTAAGCTCTCCGAATGTTTGTTAATTATTTTTTTTCGCGTTTCTTGCAAGGAGAAGGGCTGTTTGGCACATTTGCGGTCGACGACGGTCGCCGCGCGGAACTTGCATCAGACGGTCGCGCAATGAACCACGGAAAGCCGGGGGGAAATGTGAGGCGGGAGGGGGGGCAAAGATTATCATGACTCGGGGGTAGCTTTGTAACAGTGTCCGTAAATTTATTTATTTATTTGTGAACTCGGGTGAGCGCGACCAACCAACGCAGAAGCTAAATGGTTTGGAATCAGGATGGCCAATGATACGGGGGGAG